CTTGCTGTGGTTTTTGTTTCTGTTAGTATGAGTAGTAATTTTGCACTCTTGAAATGTAAAAGATACCACTTGTAGAATTGTAGTTGCAATGAGTGAGTGCTTTAATTTGAGCTCTTAGGCAGTAGGATTAGTGTTGCCCTGTGCGTCTCTTTAGAATGACTGCCATTTTTTTCTTTTTCTCTTCTTAAATTTATTTTTATTTTATGTGCACTGGTGTTCTGTCTGCGTGTATGTCTGTGTGAGGGAATCAGGTCGCTTGGAACTGAAGTTACAGACAGGTGCTGTGAATCTAACCCAGGTCCTCTGGAAAAGCAGCTGGTGTTCTTAAGTGCTGAGTCATCTTTCCTGGCCTGTAGCTTTCCTTTGTCTTTGCTTGAGAACTGGTTTCACTATATGCCTCTGGCTAGCTGAGAATTTATAGCTGTCCTTTTGCCTCCTTATCCCTAGGATTAGGTGCATGTGCACCTGCTTAGCATTTTGGGGTGAGGTAGCTCACAGGGAATGGCCCAGGCTGGCCTTGGAAGCCCTACCTCTCAAGTGCTGAGATTTTAAACCTGGGCACCTGTGTAGAATTGGTAATTTATTTGCCCCCCCCCCCCCCCCCCCAGACAGGGTTTCTCCATAGCTTTTGGTTCCTATTCTGGAACCAGCTTTTTCTAGACCAGGCTGGCCTCAAACTCACAGAGATCCGCCTGCCTCTGCCTCCTGAATGAATTTATTTACTTTTAAAGTAACACAGTTTTGTTAGACATAAGGAATACCATGGTGTATTGTATGCTTTTTTGTTTGTTTTCCCCCTTGATTCTTGTCGGCTTCTGTATTTGGGTGTTGCTGTGGAAGCACAGGGATGGAGTGTTTGGCCTGTGAGACACTGGTACATTCTCCCTGCAGTGGAGCTGTGTTGATTGAGTACATACATGATTTTGCTCCTGGGCTTTTCCATTGGGAGTTCACACCAGCATTAAATTTGAAGCTGGCAGCCCCTTAAAATTTAAAATGTTTCAGCAGCCTAACACATTTACTTCCTTTAGGTTTTTTGTTACCTTTTATACTACTCAGTGTGGTGTGTGGTTTTCCCCTTCCACTTAGAGATGTTTTGTTAGTCATTCTCGAGTGCAGGTTTCTTCAGTGTCAGAAAGCAGGACCCACAAAGTTTCTCCTTAAAACCTTTTTAAAATTTTATGTGTATGGGTGTTGCCTGCATACCTGGTGCTTAAAAGGCCAGAAGAGGAGGGGAGTCTGACCCCTGAGATGTGAATGGTTGTGAGCCAGCACGTGTATGTGAGGGAACTGAACTCCCTGGGCACTCTGGAAGAGCAGTCCGTGCTCTAACCAGCTGAACTATTTTCAGCCCCTCTCAAAAAGTATTGTTATATTAAAGTGTGTCGGGGGGGGGGGGTGGGCTGTTGGAGGTCAGGACATTTTGCAGTTTTCTATGATAGTTCCAAGAATTGTACTCATCGAGGCAGTATTTTTCCGCTGAGGTATCTTAGCAGTCCTCTTTTTTTCATTCTTTGAGACAGGGTCTTGTTATTATGTTACAGCCCCAGCTGGCTTCTAACTTGTGATCTCATCAGCTTCCTGAGTGTTACTAGAGAATGCATATATTTTAACGGATTTTATTTATTTACTATGTATACAATGTTCTGTCTGCATGTATACTTGCATGCCAGAAGAGGGCACCAGGTCTCATTACAAATGGTTGTGGTTGCTGGGAATTGAACTCAGGATCTCTGTAAGAACAATCAGTGCTCTTAACCCCTGAGCCATCTCTCCAGCCCCACCTAACATATGTTAAGCAAGTGCTCCACCACTGAGCTACACTGCAGACCCCAGATAATCCAGAACAGCAATTAAGGAGAAATTGCAGGTTACAGTTCTTGAGTTTAGTATAAATGGTTCCTTTTATATTTATATCCTTATAAAAATAATAACAAAATAAAACTTAAGCATTTTCAAAATAAAGACATAATAAAGCATAAGGTCCTTAGCTAATCTAATAAAAACACTGCTGTGCAAGCCTGATGACTTGCTGCATCCATGGACACATTGTGTCCACAGAAATAAGACAGAAACTTGGTTAGTTTTAGATGGGCTGTGGAGAATTTTTCTTGCTAATGATGTGGGTTGACCCCAGCTTGTGAATTATCACATAATGTGTTTTTGATGCTTTTAATTGTGGTGACAGTTCAGGATATCAGAGCCCTAGGCTGGTTTCAAACTTAGCTATGTTGCCAATGCCTGAGCATCTGGTCCCCCTGCCTCTTCCAAGTGCTGGGTTCACAGTTGGTAGGCAGGGACCTCTAAGGCTTTGTACTAAGCTCCAGTCGAGATATTTTAGATAGTTTTTTTTTTTTTTTTTAAATACAGTGTCTTGCCAGGTGGTGGCACACACCTTTAATCCCAGCACTCAGGAGGTAGAGGCAGGTGGATCTCCATGAGTTTCAGGAGCCAGCCTGGTCTACAAGAACCAGTTCCAGGACAGGCTCCAAATCTACAGAGAAACCCTGTCTCGGGAAAAGAAAAAGACATCTTGCAGTCACAGTTCAGACAGCCCTTAATTCCGTTTGTTTACCATGTATTAAACCTCCCTGCCTTGAGGCTGGTGGTGGACACAAGAAGTTCCTTTCATCCAACCATGTCAGACCTTGGAAGAGGCTAGCTGACATGGACCATTGAGTCCTGTTTTCTTGAACTCAGCTTTAGGCAGAGCTGTGTAGAGTTGAATTCTAATTGGTCTTAATAGTAAAAACCCGGAGTCAGATATCCGGGTCAATGCTGAAAGATCAGAGAAGTAGCCAGCCAGTATAGAAAACTTTTACCTCTACTGAATCCTCAGACCGAATGGTGTCTGAAACCTATGATTGAATCCTCCTGCCTTACTCCTTTCTCTGCCCAGCCGTACATATCACTTCCCATTACCACCTCCCTAGTGCTGGGACTAAAGGTGTGAGCCATCACCACTTAGTTCTGTTTTTCTTTTAGACATACTCAATCCATCTAAAAGTGTGCCACCACTATGGCTGACTACTGTGGCTAGCTCGGCACTTTGATCTTCAGGCAAGCTTTATTTGTTAAATAAAACTTGACCAGCTTAAGAGCTGCCTGGCCAGTCTTATTCAGAATAACCTTGACCAGCTTGTGCCTCTGATCAGTGTGCATCCCCGGCTTTCTGGAGTACCCCAAGCCTTTGCTCTGGTTCCTGTGTTCTAATCCTGATCTTCCTTTTTGGAGGAATGGCTTGTTATAGACCCTGTCGGGAACCAGGACTCACTGGTGTTCATCTGACTGCAGGCAGACCCAGTTCTTGTTTTGTTCTCTTGTCATTTATACGTCTATGACTCTTTCTGCATGCAGTTGCGTTTGAAAGTATGTAGTGTATGATTTTTCACAGTTTTCCCACTTCTAGGGGAAATAAAAGCACTAAGGTAAGATTAAAAAGTAGTAACTGGGGCTGGAGAGATGGCTCAGTGGTTAAGAGCATTGCCTGCTCTTCCAAAGGTCCTGAGTTCAATTCCCAGCAACCACATGGTGGCTCACAACCATCTGTACTAAGGTCTGGTGCCCTCTTCTGGCCTGCAGGCATATGCACAGATAGACTATTGTATACATAACAAATAAATAAATAAAAAAAAAGTAGTAACTGGGCTGGAGAGATGGCTAGGCTCACAACTAAAAAATAAGGTATTAACTATAAATACTATGTTGTTAGTTGCCATAATAAAAAACTGAACTTGCTGCTGACTTTAGATTGTAGTGCCGATACATGTTAGATGTAGAGTATTATTGCTGAGTCATTGATTGGTGCTCCTCCCCCACCCTATTTCTCTACCCGTGGCCGGCTTGGAACTCTTGTAGACCAGGCTGGCTGCTTCGAACCCAGATCCTCCTGCCTCTGCCTCCTGAGTGCTGGCCACCATGCCTGGCTGTTTAAGCCGGTTCTTTTCAGGAACATCATCGTGTTTTCAGTTAAGTGATGGTCATTTGTCACAGGCAGAGTATTTCAAGATACTACTGGTCTTACAAAAATTTCAGATTCTTGTGTGTTCCTATGAGTGTCTTACCTGCCTGTGTTGTGTATCACATGGGTACTGCCCCTGGAGGCCAGGAGAGGGTGTCAGTATCTCCTGGAACTGGAGTTGAGATGGTTGTCCACCTCCGTTCCATGTAGGTGCTAGGAACTGAACCTGTAAGAGAACACCAGATGCCTTTAACCTCTGAGTCAGCTCTCCAGCCTTATTTTGTAAAAATTTCTGAGCCGTCACATTGAACAGAAATGAGAAAGGAATTTTTGGGACTGCTTCATCAGGCTTACCAGCAATTAACATCCACCTGTTGCTGCTCTATTGGAGCTTGTAGACCAGATTTGCCTGGGATTCAGAGATGTGTGTCTCAGCTAGGACTAAAGGTGTGGACCACTCGAAATTATTTTGGAGAAAGCATTTCTGGCTATCTGGACAAGTATCTAAGGTTGGAGGCTGGAGGGATAGATGGCTCTTTCCTTGCAAAAGATCGGTTTCAGAACTCAAGTCAGGCATCTCACAACTGTCTTTTTAACTCCAACTCCATGGTGACAGGATGCTTCAGGCCTCTGCACATGCACCCAACAAATACAAAGACGTATGTACAGAAAATAATTTAAAAAGCACACATCAGATTTGAGGCAATATTTTCTGAGGAACCTAATTGTATGCTGAGCAAAAATCTTTGTTGAATGGCCTTCTGAAGGCTTGATAAAGAGCCAGGTGTTTATGGTTACATTGTTCTCATTATGAGTCTGGTCATTTGCTTTGTGGCATTGATTTTTTTTTTTTTGGAATGACAAGCAGTTAGTGGAAGTGTTGGGCATGTGCTCCAGACCTGCTAAGAGCTGTTCTCTTATTAAGATATTTGTTCCTAATGGACTAATGTATATCAAGACATTAACCAATTTTCTTCTCCTAAGGAAAAAAATAAACTTGAGATTATTTTTATAACACAAATTTTCATTTGTTTCTTAGAAGACCCATTTGATGACTTTTTTGGGAGCCGAAGGGCTTCCCGAGGAAATAGAAGCCGAGGTACAGGCTCGTTTTTCTCTGCCTTCAGTGGATTTCCTTCTTTTGGAGGTGGATTTCCTGCTTTTGACACAGGTATTAAAGCCCTAGATTATTGAGTCTGAACAAGTCTTTTAGCTAGCACAGTGTGAAGTTTGTAGGGGACTGGGTAAGTGGGTCTCTTATTTCCTGTCCAGAGGGGGGTGTGTAGACAGTAATGCCTGTAATCCTATGTATGACTCTGGATGCCAGCGGAGGAAGATTTCTACGGGGTCAGGCTGGGGTTTGTAATGACACCTTGTCTCAACATAAGAGACATGGCTACCATTGTGGGAATGTGGGGCATGTAGTTTCCCCTGCATTAAGGTGCTTATAAGGTTTTGCCCCAACTGTGAAGTACATGCTGGTTTTTCAAAGTCTGTATATAAGAAAACAAAGGGCATTATTTCCATCTTGGAAAAAAGTTCTATTGTTTTACATGAGTATTTGGGCAAATGCACGCCATTTGGGTTTGTTTGGAGACCAGGGGGAGATCTCCTTCCACATGAGTTCTAGGTATGAAACTGAGGTCATCAGGTTTATGTTTCGTTTTTCAAGATAGGGTTTCTCTGTGTCACAGCTCTAGCTATCCTGGAACTAGCTCTGTTGACCAGGCCTCCCAAGTGCTGGGACTAAAGGTGCATGCATGCCATCACTGCCTGATTCGGTCATCAGGTTTTTTTTTTTAAATTTTTTTTTTTTTAATATTTATTTATTATGTATACAATATTCTGTTTGTGTGTCTGCCTGCAGGCCAGAAGAGGGCATCAGATCTCATTTCAGATGGTTGTGAGCCACCATGTGGTTCCTGGGAATTGAACTCAGGACCTTTGGAAGAGCAGGCAGTGCTCTTAACCGCTGAGCCATCTCTCCAGCCCCGGTCATCAGGTTTTAATGGCAAACTTATCTACTGACAAAGAACCTTAGAGTGGTTCTTAACCTGTGGCTTGTGACCCCTTGAGCTTGTCAAACAACCCTTTTGCAGGGTCACCTAAGCCCATCACAGAACACACATATTTACATTCTTATTCATAACAGCAGCAAAATTATAGTTATGTAGTAGCAATGAATATAATTTTATGGTTAGGGTTACCACAACATAAAGGAGCTGTATTAAAGGGTTGCAAGATTAGAAGGGCTGAAAACCACTGCTCTAAAAAATCATTAGTAATAATAATAATATTGGAAAAAGTAAACAAAAACCCCAAAAAACAAAAAGTAAACAAAACTTAATTTCTTTATTTTGATGCTCATTTCCTGTGGGCACCACCAGTCTTAGAGCTTAGATGATTGAGACATGCCTAGGAATGCGAGCTGTATGGTGTGAACATTTGGGAAACAAGAAAAGTTCTAAGCAGGTGGTGATGGCACACTCAGGAGGCAGAGGCAGGTGGATAACTCTGAGTTTGATGTAGCCTGGTATACAGAGTGAGTTCCAGGACAACCAGGGCTACACAGAAACCCTGTCTTGAACCCCACCCCTCAAAAAAGTTAGAGATTACTTGTATTTGTGGAATGTGTGGGCACTTGTGGGGAGCATGTGGTATGCATAGAGATGGGGAGAGCATTCAGTCTCCTACCGTGGCGGTAGGGGATCAAACTCAGGACAACTAGTTCCTTAGCCCACCAAGCCATCTTATTGGCCTTCTTTGAGGCTTAATAAGTTTTGAACTTAGTAATTTTTGCATAAATACTTGACATATGCTGTCTTTAACTGTATTTTCTGTTTCTCCGTAGGATTCAGTTCATTCGGGTCACTAGGACATGGGGGTCTCACTTCATTCTCTTCAGCATCATTTGGTGGCAGCGGAATGGGCAACTTCAAATCAATATCAACTTCTACCAAGATAGTTAATGGCAAAAAAATCACTACAAAGAGGTATTTATTAATGAATCTGTTTACTTTTGAGGTAGTGATGTCACCTAGACCAGAAACTCATTCAGATTCACAGTCACCTGACTCTTCCCCCAGTGCATTAAATGCTCAGTCAAGATCTTGAAGTTTTTGGTTGCAATACTGTGGTTGGAGGTTTGCGACACCACTATTTTTTTTTTTGGTTTTTTCGAGACAGGGTTTCTTTGTGGCTTTGGAGCCTGTCCTGGAACTAGCTCTGTAGACCAGGCTGGTCTCGAACTCACAGAGATCCGCCTGCCTCTGCCTCCCGAGTGCTGGGATTAAAGGCATGCGCCACCACCGCCCGGCACCACTATTCTTAAAATGCAGAATCTTGCCCACAGAGGGCAGCTGTCCTACAAACTGAAGCTATATCTCTAGCCCTTATTATTTTTCCACTTTTTTTTTTCTTTTTCCAGTTTTTGAGACTTGGTAGACCTGGATGACCTTGAACTCCTTAATCCTGCTGTCTTCCTGGCAATGGGCTGGCTATAGTCATGTATGACATGAAGCTTAGTATTTGTTCTTAGTTATTGGAGTCTAGTAGCACAGTATTTCATGTGGTTGCTCTGCACATCTCCCAGAGCTGAATTTCTAAATCAGCTAAAGCTTTAGAGCCTTTTGCTTCCACTATTTGCTTAATGTTGACTTTTTAGGCATGCCACCCTGATCCTGTGTGACAAAGCTTCCCTGGCATTGCCAGTGTTGCAGTGTTTTTGCCTGAGTAGGAAAACCCTAATGGAGTAGGGCTGGAACCAGGGTCCAGGAGCTCTGCTGCTTAGCCACACCCAGCCCAGCGCTACTCTTTGTGGTTAGTGACATCTTGGGTATAGTTAGCAGATGGATTTACAGTATTTATAGAGTCCAAACTTAGTTTTGAAAGAACATGGATTTTGAAAAAGAACTGAAACACCCTCGCTTCCCCCCCTCCCCCCTCTCCGACAGGTTTCTCTGTAGCTTTGGAACCTGTCCTGGAACTCCCTCTATATAGACCAACCAGGGTGGCCTCGAATTTACAGAGATTCACCTGTCTCTGCCTTCCGAGTGCTGGGATTAAAGGTGTGTGCCACCACCGCCTGGCAAAAGAAACTAGAATATTATAAAAGCTTTTTTTGTGTGTTTGTAAGGGCTGAGCCTAGGGCCATAAGTTTACTAAGCAAACTCTTTCTGCATTCCAATTGAACAGAGGTTTCTATATGAATCATTTCTTACAGAATTGTGGAGAATGGTCAAGAAAGAGTAGAAGTTGAAGAAGACGGGCAGTTAAAGTCCTTGACAATAAATGGTAAGGAGCACCTGCTACGCTTGGATAACAAGTAATTCAACGCACGCATTTAACAGAAATGTTAAACCATAACAAGCACCATTTGAGGAATAACAGGAACTTTTTTTTTGAAGATTTCAAACGAACTCAACTTTCTGTATAACTGTACCTAATCTAAAGTATTTATAAAACAGCTCATCGGAGCCCCTATTTGTCATAGACTTTTGAGTTTGTTGTTGGGACCACAAAATAGGACCATTTTTTTTTTTGTCTTTAAAATTGTTGTAACCTCTGTATGCACTTTGCTTTAAACAAAACAAAACAAACCGTAATCCGAGGTGAGCCCTGTGACTCTTGAGTAGTGCTAGGACGAGATTGTTCTCTGACACCAGCATGGATCTGCTTCCCATTGTGTTGAACTGTGAGTGAGTAGTGTCAGCCTGCTGTGAAGCTAACGTTGCCAGATGAACCTTCTGCAGAAATATTTCAACTTTATTTTCAGTATTTAGTAATGAACGCTATTACTGCATCAATGGTAATACATTTCTGGTTTAGTGTAAATTAAGGATGTTTTCTAGTTGTGCATGGATGCTGGCAAATTCGTCAGTTCTGAAAATTGTTTAAGTATGTAATGTTAAGCTTAGGTTTAAGAAAAACTGGTAATTTGGGTCTTTGTCATTTGCTTAAAAAAAAAAAAAGAAAATAAATGCGAATGTGTTTGGTGCATTCTTTCATGAGCGGGGTCTGCAGCCTTCTTGTGTCTGTGTGATTTTGTGCCTGGGCTTCTAGTATCACTTTTGTGCTTCCTTCAATCATGATGGATTCTGAGTGGAAGTTACATATAGACCTGTCCTCAGAGTGTATAAAGACAGTAAATAATTACCAACAATTTAGTGTGGTGAGGGTGGGGGTCAGAGATTATGGAAAGGTCTATAAATAATGAGAAACAGTTTTGTAATTTGTTGGGGGGTTAGTTTGGGGATTCAATCCAGGGCTGGGTACAGGCTAGATAGGCAGGTACCACTGATATCCCTCATCTTGTCTTTTTGAAATATCTTCTAAGCAGCTCAGACTAGTCTTGAACTCGAGATCTCCCTGCCTTCACCCTACATGCTGGGATTATAGGCATGCTCCATCATGCCTTGCTATTACAGATCTTAGTGTAGCAGTTTGTGGGAGGAAAGGAACCGGTCCAGAAGTTTTCATTGAAAACTGTTGTAGTTTTCTAGGATATAGCTTACAGACTATCACTTCAGGGTAGTGCACATGAAACATCAGGATATGATTAAAGAGCCAACAGCAGCAAGCTTCTCATTTTTCAGTCTGTAAAAATAACTTCTGGTTATGACAATTCTAGTTAAAAGTTAATGTGGTATTGAACCAAACTTGTATTTAAGCCCCCAACCTATCATTTAAGAAGTGTGTAGATTCTAATTGTTGCAAAAATTACTTCTGGGACTGTAAGGACTTTTGACACTGTCTGGAATAAGGAATAGTCATTTTACAAACTTTCATAGCAGAGAAGAAAAGTTTTATCTCAAAGTGCATACTTAAAGGGAATGATCTAAAGATGGCAGAGGATTGAGTGCACTTGACCATATGTTAGGAATGAGCTGATTTTTGACTCCAGTGCCTTTGGATAGGGTGGGTATGCAAACACTGCAAACCTGAAGACAGTGAGTACCTATTGCTTTGCTTCCCAAATAGTTTGTGACCAGAAAGCCTGACATTAAGGTACCTCGACACAGGATGAGACAGAAGAGAAGCTCTGGCGTTGCCTAAGGATATGGGAATGGAAAGGAGTGAGGACACAGCAAGTACTTGGCCTCAATTTTGTATTTGCATATGTGTGAGTACACTGAGATGTACTTGAAGCAGCAGAGGTGATGTAGCTGTCCTAGAGCCCAAAGATGGGTAATGGAGGAGTAGGGCATATGGACCAGTGCTTGATACTTGCACTTGGTAGCTGTTGGTCTGTTCCTCCATCACTTACTGTGCTGACACACAAGCAACTTGTTAAAATTAGATCTAGTTCCCAGAGAGTTACCCCAGGGTGGATGCTACTTGGGGAGGGCTTTGAATTGCTGTTTGGTGTTGGTGGTATTTAGCAGTGACCTGTGAAATGAAAAGGCCCCTTTGCCACCTTGAAAAGAAAGGTCTCACTTTAGTCTTAGAAAATCTGACTGAAAGCTTGTGGGCGGTATGCTCAGTTTTTGTGCAGGGACATTCTCAGAAGCTGACTGCTATGTGCAGAGTCCTTGCATAGGAGGTTCCTGCCTGAGTTCTGTAAAATTTTCCCCCCCACTCATTTTCTTTTGTGTTCCCCAACCGAGTCAATTCAGTGAAGAAATATTCTCCACTTTTTTTTTTGTTTTTTGTTTGTTTGTTTTACACAAATTTTAGGGTCAATTCTGAACTGAGTCACTGATAGGGTATATAACAAACAGTAATACGGAGTGGCTTGCATTGTGGGCATTGAGGGCAGATTTCAATAGCAACGTCTAACAATCTGGACACATTCACCAACGTTCTTTACTTGTAGGGTCCTTCCAGGTGCTCAGGTTCGAGGTCCAGTGCATGATCCTCTTGGCAACAGCTCTAGTTTTTATTATATATATGTGTGTGTGTGTGTGGCCTCTTAAGGAGTAGCCTCTCTTCTCTTTTCCAGGATTTCTTTTTGGGGGTGGTGATGGTAAAGAGAGAGTCTTGTGTTCTTCTGTCTTCAGCCCATTCCCATCCCCTCCCTGCAAGTTCTGGGATGATCTCCCCTTGTTGTGTTTTGTTTTTGAGTTGGTCTCATTATATATGTAGACCATATGTACACCGTGGTCTACATATATGGTATAGCCCACACAGCTCTCAACTCAGATCCCTGTCTGACTCCCGAATGTGCACTGTCACTCCCAGCCCTTTTGAGGGGGCTGGGTTGAGGTGGTTTCTTTATGTAACCTTGACTGTCCTAGAACTAGTTCTGTAGACCAGGCTGGCTTCAAACTCAAAGATTCTCCTGCCTCTCCCTCCCAAGTGCTGGGATTAAAGGTGTGTGTCATTACTGCCTGACTGCCAGCCTTGATTTTTAACTGTATTGTGGGTAGAATCCCGAGATCTGTGCATGGTGTGCCCAAGCAGCATTCCCCAGCCCTCTTCCAGAATATAGTCTCAGATTCTTCTGTTATAATTTTTGTGTTTGTAGTTTGGTCTTTCTGCCTTGTTGGGAGTTGAGGAAACAAAGCCTCACTGTTTATTAGACTGAACTTCCAGTAGCCACTGCAACATCCCAAGCGCCGTGATTATAAGCACAAACACTACGCCTGACTTGCTGCATGAATTACTTGCATGTGCCCTGGAGATGGGAGGGCACAGTCCTTGGATTGCTCGCCCTAGCATGCACCATCAATTCTTGGATTTCATCTCTCTGCTAGCACAGAATAAATCATAATCTCAACCTCAGCTATATAGAGAGTTTGAAGACACTGATGTATGAGACCTTGTTTGGCATGGGGAAGAATTGCTGTGGCGTGTTGAAATACCTTTCTAAAAGCTTTTCTTTAAAAAAAAAAAACAAAATCAGCTGGCGGTAGTGGTGCACACTTAATTCTGGCAGAGGCAGGCAGATCTCTGAGTTCGAGGCCAGCCTAGTCTACAAAATGAGTTCCAGGACATCTAGTTCCAGAGAAAAGAAACAGGCAAAAACCCTAATAAAACAAAACAAAAAATCATTTTACATTTGTGTTTGTGTGTGCCTGTTTTCCCATGTGCAGTGTACACATGTAAAAGTCATATGTGTGAGTGTTGCCTGCATGTATGCTTGTGCACTGTGTATACATTGCCTTCAGAGGTCAAAAGTGGCAAGATCCCCTGGAGTTATAGACAGTTGGCTAATGGTTGCTAAGAATTCAGTTCTGTTCTGGAAGAGAGGCCAATGCTCTTAACTGCTGAGCGCTCTCTCCAGCTCCTATTCTTGATTTAAAAATATATATTACATATAATTGTAAAACTAATGTCATTCATTAGGTGTACACTTTTAGGCGACAGAGGGTTTAAAATAAACTGTGTATGGGTATTTTGCCTCCATGTAATGTCTATGCACATGTATGTTTGTACTATGCCCGTCTAGTGAGTGCCTTTGGAAGCCAGAAAGAGGATGTTGATTCCCCTGAACTGGAGTTTAGAGTTACATGTGGCTGTAAACTGCCATGTGGATGCTAGGAATAGAATAGAATCCTTTAGAGTACGGTGACTACTGATCCTTCTCCACAGCCCCAGGATTAGGTTTTGATTATGTGTCTCTGTGAGAGTATGCACATGAGAGTGTAGGAAACTCATGGAAGCCAAAAGAAGGTACCTGATTCCCTGGAGCTGCAGTTGTAGACAGTGTTGAGAACGTTGCTGTGGGTGCTGGGAACCAACTTCAGGTCTTCTGGTACCAAATGCTGAGCCATATCTCCAGCCCACTGACAACAGCATGTTTTGTTACAGGCTGCTTTTAGAAAGCCTAGTGCACAAAACCTGTCCTTTCCCCAGCTTTAAGGAAATAGATTCTGAAATTTATCCATCATCTCTGGGAGTTTTTGAAATTATAGGACAGTGGTTTCCATTTTTGCCCTCTGGTAGCCAGAATCTAGAATGTACCTGGGAGGCAGGGGTGTATCCCCCTCCCCCGTTCTCGATAGTCGTACTATGTAATCTGTATTGATAGTAAGTACATCAAGGAATGGAAACACAGGCTTCCTTTTGATTTACCAAGATTGAACCCAGATTTGAATCCTCTACTTCTCGTGTGTAGTCAGCATGTGTGTGTGTATCTGTCCTGTGTCTCCCTATCCTACAGGGCTATGCTCTCTATTTATCGAGCATCATGAAAACATGGCGTTTTTCAGAGACTTTCAGCAGTTTCACAAGGGAAGCCGTTACATTGCTTACTGCTCCAGATGACGTGAAACCAAACTCTTACTCTGAGAGCAGATTCATAGTCCCACCCCGTTTCTCTGTTTAAGACTGGCTGTCTTTGAACTCAGATC